AATCTTGACCATTCAAGTATTTTTTCAAGTACTTTACAGTCTGTGCATTTTATTACATTCCTCAAGGCAAACACATTGGAATCAAGTGTAATCTATTATAGGTTGCCAAGAGGAACACCACACATACTATTGCAGGCCTGAACGTGCAGATCTCCATGCAGATGAGATAACCCATTACTGCAACATGCATTGCATTAATCACTTCTGAAAACCCATTCATGAGCATCTGGCAATAGCATCATTCAGGATTGCTGTGCAATAAATATATCCCAGTTCATTTCATTGCAAGTCAATGAAGTCTGTTTTCCACAAGGGAGAAATTAGCACCTGTCCCCCAAACAGCCATGCAGTAAAGAGGCCTTATTTTCTAAGGTGCACGTACAGTACTTAGACCTGTGCCCCTGGTTGTTATTACTTAGTGTTTCATTCACAATATGGGCAGGACTGACAGGGACGTCACACGTTTAAAGACATTTGAGACAAAACAGAAAGGTCTATGACATATTTCTTCATTGCCAAATAAAATGTAGGGCACTAACTAGAGTAATGGATAATGATAATTCTTGTTTATTTCTTACAGGGCTGGAAATAATTGGTGGTGGGTCCCTATAGTTGCACCTATGCTGGGAGGAGTACTTGGAGCTATTACCTATATCATTTTTATTGAAATTCATCACTCAGACACTCATCCAGGAGAAGAAAATGATGTATACGATAAATATGAATTGACAAACATGTAGTAAGAAATGAAGAATTTTCTTTCTTGTTATGTTGTATCATTTTTCTATGCAAATGATTGTTTGGACCATTTTATAAAACCCATATGCCTCAATTAGATATTCACATTTCAAAACAGAAAATTTGTCTAGAAAACAAGGTACAAACTGACTTCTTTTCATGAAACATAGGGCCGATCACATTCAAATTAGAGAATTAAATTATGAAGGGAGGAATAAATTGTTGTTTCTTTCATACAGATTTCAGATCCAGTTATCTCCTAGATGAAATTGTAGTGAGATGATACACTGACCTGTTAATTCAACACAGATGATCTTAATCATGCTGCCTAATTAACTGAAAATAGATGAGATTGTTATGAAACTGCATGCAAAGGTAGTTAATTGGTTCAGTGCTGAATTAATGAATTAAGAGCACATCTCACTTCTTGTAGCCATTATTTAAGAATGCCTTGTCTGAAAATAAAATAAAAAAAAAAGCCATACCTGAATTGCCTAAACATCAGTCGAAGTAGTTTTACTAAATCTTTATGCAGCTACTGGTTGAACAGTAAGGAGTTAGCTCATCAGTGATGAGGTTTAGTAATTCAAAATATGAACATGAAAGATAAAAAAAAAAAAAGTGTTACAAGTTCAACACCAAAAAGATAAAGCTGTACTTCTGCACAGGCTCTTCATGGCAATAACATCCAGTTATTTTAAAACAATTTACTTGACCTTTTTGTTATCCAATATTAAAAACCTAACCTAGAATATTAGTCTGAGTCTCTCCTGCTGTGCTTTCTAAGTTCCATTCCTGTGGAGATGGGCCAGCAACAGAGGCTTGTGCTGTGCATAAGTTAGCACATGGACTGTGTCTGTACAAGCTTTTAAGAGGCCCTCTGCTGCTGATGATCTATGTGGGGGGATTTCATCTGCTTACTGGGAATAATTTTTATTTAGGTAGCAGTAATTAAAATTAGAAACTGGTCTCAAACCTACTCCTAGATCTGAATTCCTCGTCAAGCGTCAGCTCCACATTATATTTCTGAAGCATGGGTTCTCTCTGGCTAGACGGAAGTAGTTGGGCATATGCTGCTTCCTAAATACTTAGCTGATGCTATTTCAGGACTGTGGTCAAGCTTCAACTTTGAAATATGAAATTATTTCTGCTTAAGCATTGTGAATTGAATGCATCCAATAAATTCAAAGTTCATTTCTAATATACATACATACATATATACATGTGCGTGGTTGGTGGTGGTGATCATGAATAAATAGACATCCTAGTCAATTATGCTCCTGAGCTATTTTCAAGGCAAAACTTCAAGGTAACTCTTCAATGCACTCATTTTAGGGTCCTATTCCCTTTGGATTCCTACAGCTCTGCTCCCTAGAATTCCACACAGTTTTCTGATCTCACTCCTGAAGGAAGGAACCCTTTGTGTTGCCAGTAACAGCCTGTGCACTTCAGTGAGGTATCCACAGAAGTGATTTGGAAGAATATCATTGTCAGAATCAGCTGTAGCGTTTGGGCAGGTCACGCCTGTGCCACTCTGTGTCTTTATCACGCTCCCTGGTGTGCCACACTGAATTCATGGCAGCAGAGGGATAGAATTAGCAGCTCAGGCAAAGCTTTGCTTGCTGCAGCTCTAAGCCAGATGATGCTGTATTCTTCAGGGAGTATAATTCCCATTTTAATGGTGTTTTTGAAGAAAACTTGCAGAACTGTAATGAATTTAGGTTTCCCAGACACTGTACCAACCTTGTGCAAAACGCTGATTTGATTTACCCTTTCTCTGACATGGGTTAAAAATTTATATAGCTATATAATGCAGCTGAATATGAAAAGGTAGGATTATTCGGAGAACCACGATAACAAAAGAGAAAGGTCCACAGAATCAGTTCTCTATTTATCTGAGGAGATCACACCAGAGAATCAATTCAATGTTGCAGTTATTCATAACTGTAGGCTTTATATTGACAGCACAGACAAGCAGGTTCATCTCTCCTCTATACACTGCACTACATAAAACCATTGGTGAGTAAAAGCGATTCCGACCAGTTCTGTTGCAGACTGAAACTCCTTTTACTCCCCATTGCAGAGGGCACTCGTGTTGGTGGTGTCTGACGGTAGCTGCCCTAGGTGACTGCCAGCCACCTGTGTCTGAGCAGAGTTTATGAAGGTAGGAACGGCCAGAGGCTGCCCTGGATCTGAAAGGCCCTTGCTCTTCCACTAATGCCAACACCTAACATGAAATATCTGTGCATGAAAATACAAAGAGACAAAGAGCCAATTAACCAGAAGAAACTGCCGACGTTGTTTTTTATCCAAAATGGTAGAGGCAGGTTTTATCGTTTACTGTGTGAGAATTTTGCAGTAAGTAGGCTTCACATGCCTCACCGTATTGCTTCCTTTAATGCACCGTGGAAAACACAGGGAAAAGCACAGTACAGGTCAGGAACGAGAAAGGGACGGTTTGGTTATACGACATACCGAGTGACCAGCCCACACTTGCTGTGTGGCTGTTGGCCGAGGTATATAAGGTCTACGTTTTCTCAAAGTCCTTCTGATTAGAACAGGTTCTGCCTGTAAATCAACATTAAATCTTGTTTCTCCTACTTAGGCATTCCTATGCTGCAAATTACTGTATAAATTACATCTACTTGTCTAAAATGATCAACATGCCAGTCGTAAGTGGTGACACATTGGTATGACAGCACAGCAGTATCAAATATATGCTCCGATCAAGTTGTTGTCAATTGTGTTTGCTTAAAGAACTCATTTTAAAACTTTAATTTATCATCACATATGTTCAAAAATTCTTTGAAAATGCATGGTACCAATACTGCAGTTCATCTTGCCTTCACAAAGGCCAGAATTTTATTCAGGAAGAAGGTGTTACAGATCTACCTCAGAGGTGGTGATTTTCATTTTTAGCAACACGGATGAATTCCTGCTTCAGGGACGAAACTCAGCTGAGTCTTAACTATGGAGCCATGACCAGTATCTCCATTATAAAATGGGAACAATTATCATCTCATACTCTAAGCTTTTGCAGACATCAAGATCGGTTTTGTGCAAAGAAAAAAATGATTGTTAATTTGCATAAACTGTGCAATTTTCTAATATCAACTGATATTCAGTGGTCGCACTCATACTGAATCAATGTAACACAGTTGGCAACAAGAAACAGATTTTCCAGCTGTAATATATGGTGGTTAATGAATTAATAGTAATCAAACTTGATCATACTAATGTTGAAAAAAATCATTTTCAGAGCATTGCTCAATTTTCAGTTTGCATTTGTTCTTTTTTGGGCAACGTGTTTGTTCTCTGGAGCTAAACTTAGTCCTGAAGTAATGTGGAGAGTGATCCTGCAAATAGCACTGGGTGAAAGGTTGGCTACTGCATGCTTTTTCACAGAAGCCAGTGGAATTATTCACAATGGGGGCAATATAGGTGTTTGGAGAATCAAGCTTGGAGCATTGTGGAAACTGTACTTTCTTGTAGTTTTGACTGTGGATTTGGATGAATGTGTTGTTGTTCAAAATAAATACAGTCATTCCCTAATAAATACATTCCAGTACTATTTTTATTTTTGTAACCAAATAAATAAATAAATAAATAATCTCCCCTCTGGCATCTAAGGACATATTAAGAAATAAATAGCTGCCTGTTACAACCCACAATGTTTTACAGCCTCATGCTGCAAGAACACATTGACTAACAAGCTGCGTTCCCAGAGCACGGACCCCCTGCGGCAGATTTTGTGGGTCAGAGCAGTGCCAAAGCACAGAAATGCTCACGAGTGAGTAACGGCCACCGCTGGGCCAGGAGGCACCCATGCAAGCCCTTGCCTCTGGACCTTCTCCTACTCCTGCCTGGGGGTGCCCTCTGCCACGGCTTTCCCAGCGGTCTGACAACAGCCAGAGCCTAGGGGGCTATTTTGCTTAAGTCCTACTTCGGAGACTGCTTTTAAGGCACGCATATATCACACCAAAATTTCGCCTACAGTGCTTACAAAATGTCCCACGTTAATTTATCTGATTTCTACTCCGCAAAGATTAATATTTGTTACAGAGGTGTGCTTTGCTCCTTTCATTTAAAAATAACATAATAATAAAAATAAAACCGTTCTGTGGGGATGAAAGGAGAGAGAACAATTAAGGAGCTTCAAATTTATTCAGGAAGCCACAAAAGAAAAAAAAATGAAGTGGCAACAGGCATTTTATCCTCCGTCCATCCTGATGGCTCTTACCTTCCTAACAGTCCTTCTGATTTTCTACATTCTCCTCTCTTTTTCTGGCCAACACTGCCTGCTCTGCTCTCTCTCTATACAGTAATCTCCAGAGATTTAAATCCAGCATGCTTCTCTCAGCCACTTACGAATCTTAGAAAGTTCTCATGAGAGCAAATTCAAGTTTCACCTCACGTGCTTGGTTTTTGGCAATTGCTTGCATTTTTCCCCCACACTGTTCCCACCAAGCAACCTTATGCTGGAAAATACAACAATTAAGTGCAACTTCCAGTAACAGCTGCTCTTTTTCTGTTTAGCACAATTGTTATTGCATAATAGATCATTTGTTTCAAACGCGCTATTTTTAAGAGCACTTTGAAAGAGGAAGGCTTTAAAAATTGTACAAGATCATCCAGGAAATAAATATTCTCTGCAAAGCAGTTAAAAGTTTGGATTTTATTTTTTTTTTATCTTCTAGTTTGCACCTGCATCTTGTTATAAAAATTTACACTTACTGCACTGTGAGTGTATTTCTGCTTATTTGCACACTCTTAGAGCATAGCATCAGAGGAGAGGTAGTAGATAAATAGCCATTGGTGTTTCTTTATATATTTAAATCAAATAGTAAAGAAATCCATGTGGTATAAAGCTAGACATGTATTTCATTTTTTCTCTCTTTTCTGAACCCCAGCTTCCTTCAAAGGATGTTACTAAGAGAGGGAATATGAATATTACAGCACCTTAAGCCATCCCCTTAAACCTTCCAGCCAGATGACCCAGCTAGCTCCTTTCCCATGATGGGAGGACAGATTAGTGCTGTCCCTCTGACCTGCCTAGGGGCTGAGCACCCTGCTTTAAATTGTTGGAAATCGAGCTTTACAAACATTGCTCCAACCATCCAGAAATCAAGAGGGAGGATTCAGTTAGGCACTACACCAACCAATAAAGGGATAATAAAGGAGAAATAGAAGTTCAAAAGCTGGTGAAACAAAGCAAGCCCTTTTGGGGAAAGATCATCCAAAAGGCTTGTAAAGCCTGGTTACTTTGGGAAATACTGAAGATTTTACTGGGGAACACCAAAGGAAAGAGGCAACCACAGTATGAAGATCAGAAGATTGTCTCTTTGTTCACCTATCAGAAAACTTGAGTCTATCTTGAATAGAAATTGAACAGAAATTCAGACATTCTCAGTATTATCAGAAGGACCAGTTTGGACTCATTAATAGTATTATTTTCTCAGCATTTGACACATAATAGCCTAACAGGTGAAGAATATTTTCCGTATCCTTGGAAATAACAGTACTCTCTTTCAGTGCTTGACTCTTCTCATGAAACCTTGCCTGCCTTCCACATGTTAACAGAGTTCTGAATGAACAAGCAACAAAGCAAGGAATATATTAAGATTTGGGAAGTCAGCATTGAAATGGAAGGAACTGACCAGTATCAACCAAAACAGAACAGATGCAACACTTTCCATAGCATGACCGAGGCATCGAATAACAAACATAAAGCCAAAGAAGCAGCATGTGGTTGGCAGCAAACACTACTAAATTAGGGTCGGGTGTTTCATCAATACCTATTAAATGGACTTCAGAAATATGATATTTGAGAAAAGGACTGAACTGTAACCATGTTGTTTTCCATAGTAAAGAAGCAAAATGTATTTGAACATTTTCAGGTTAGTGAAAAAACATCAACAACAACAAGAACAACAAAAACACAAACAAACAAAAAACAAATCTCAGTGGGAGAGAGGGAAATAGTAACTTCCCTGAATTAATTTCCAGCTCTGTGAACTCTGCTCCAACCCCTCAAAAGAGGCAGTAAGGCTCTCTGCATTAGAACTGCACAGTACCAAACCCAAGATTGCTCTATCTTCATTTCCATCAGGCAGATGATAGCATTTTGAGTGCTGCTGTTTCAGATGTTCAAAATATTGGCAACTGATGCCTATACACTGCAGAAAACTTCTTTTACATAACCATTCTGACATCTAAGGAAGAAAGCCCGTTTGGCTACAGTGCAGCATTTCATCTCATGTATGTGTAAATCCCCAGTGGTTTTATGTTTTTCAGGCGATAGAAACAACACAGGTTTTTGAAGATACAGGCACTGAAGAACAGCTATCAAACACAAGTAAACGAGGAGATGTGAATCCAGGTGCCAGACTGCCACGTAATCCCAGGGGATAAAGCAAGTGCAAGGGCTGCTCTTGCAAGTCTTCAAGAATGACAGACACAAACCTTGACTCAGAAGCAAAGTCTTCACACCTCCAGGCTGCTCACAGAAGAATACTTCAAAGACACGGGCCATTTATAAATGCATATGCAAACACCACTAGCACTTCTAAAGCTTCCAATCCAAGAAAACAGAAATGAAAATATTATGGCTGAACAAAATAAGGATGTGAACACAGACATTTCAATCTGCTCTGTCACAAGACAATGCTAAAAGGTAGGGGACGCTGGAAGCCAGTATAAACCTCATTTGCTATTGCAGGTGGTTCCTTGAAATTATAGCACATAAGAAACTAAACAGTACAGCTTTAAAACAAAGGACAAAAATCTACCTAAAATAGTTATCCTGCCTGCAAGTAGAGCTGTATCCTTTTCTTCTTCCTCCAAGTCTTTAATCTGTTTTTTATTAATACAACTGGCAGCAGGCCTCTTGTTCTCTCTCAATGGCTCCTGTCTCAACTGTGTGCCACCAGTCTTTTGTACCCCTTGAGCATCAGCCCTTACCCACAATGTTCTGTTTCCATGAAGAAGAATGAAAAAAAAAATGGGGAGGAGGGATTTCAGGCATATTTCAAAATGCAGACAGTTCCATGCAATTTCCAAACGTACATTGGGCTTTCAGCAACTCATCCAGCAGTGACACTCTTTTCAGTGACACTCTTTTTCCCTCCCTTTGATCAGCCATGTTGCGTACAGCAACCTGGCAGGGCAGTATCATCTCCCTAAGGAACATCAAAAGTACGTAGGTCTGGACGTCCCCCAGGGTAGTCCCTAGAACAAGAGACCTACACAGGTGTTGGTGGATTGTTATTTGGTATAGAGGATGGACTCTGAGAAACTGGAGTTAGCTACACTCTGAGTGCAGTCTCTGCCACAGGACAGGATGCATAAATCAGTAAGAACCAGCTTGTGTTCCAGGTGCTGCATTGAAAGTGTTTAAAGCCAGCACAGTTCTTATTTGTACATCTTATTTCAGGTATTTTCACTAGGAAATGGAAAGCTAGAGACAAACATATATCCCATATAAATTATAAAAAGTAAATTTTGGGGCACAGCCATTGTGAAAAAATGTATCTTCAGATATAGAAACTTTACTCCATCCCCAAGGAGGACAGTTTATAGAAAAGTTGTAAGAGAAGTCCTATGATCTAAGCCTTTTTGAAAGCGTTTAAACATTATCATCACCAAAATAACCATGCTCAAAAATACTTAAGTATTTTTTGCTTTACAGTTTTCTTTGTTTTAAAAACTTATTTTTTCCTTAATGGCTTTGTAACATCTCAGCCTCTCGTTATAGATTTTTGTTTCTGTCATCACTTTTCTTGGTGCTTCTAGATGTGTTGAAGTTCCAGATCTTCTGATTTATTTTTTATTTTTAAATTTCTATTTATTGTTTGTAATAAAGACAAATACAGTCTTTTTTTTTCTCTTTTTTTTTTTTTTTTGTGTCTGATAATAAAGCAGCTTTGGTGATTCCATGCACATGGTGTCTAACCACAGACGAGCAACCCATTATGCACTGGGCTTCTGGAAAACTGCAGCTGCTCTGTTAAGAAAGACCCCGAAGGCTTGATCTCACAAGCCTTCCTACTGCTTCAGTGGTTTGGGGAAGATTTTCCCTGCCAGAACAGCCCTATATTCGGTAGGACAGCTTTAACAGAAGCAAACAAGCCTAACATAAAGGCCATAATGGTACCTCAGCTTCACTGCTGGGAAAGGAAGAGGATGGCCGGCCCACCTAAGAGGCTTGCAGTGTCCAGTTGTTCTGCAATAAGGGTCACATAAAAGCTGAGGCAGAAAAAAAAATCTGTTATAGCAAATATAACATTGCTGATGACAGCAGCGATGCATAAGGAGGTACTTCAGGAACATGATTCCTCTGCTGAGCACCTTTGACCAAGGCAAGTTCCAAATGCAGGGCCGAGGTGAATGGAAGTTGCTGAGGCTGCTGCCATAAGCATTTACCCAGCAAAGAGCAGCTCCTGGCAGAAGGCCACACTTTGAAGAGCCCATTCTTTTTCAGAACATCAGCACTGCAACAGCACCTGGAATACTTTGCCAGTTGTGTATCAAAAGCCACAGCTCTTCTAAACTTTAATAACCAGTCCTATACTCACCGGTGGATTTAAAAAAAAAAAAAAAAAAAAGTTTATATTTAAAACGAGTTTTATTTGTATAGGAAGCTCTTTCTTACCATTATTTACTATATAATTTTTGAAGACTGTGACACAGTGATCTAAGTGCTGCAGACATATATTATCTTGATGTAAAATATACACAGTAAGTGTGTGAGTATGTCAAGATCACAATATTTTTTTAAAAAATATTATTTAGCTGCCTGAGTCTTGAAATACACGGACCATATCTGACTTTATTAAGCTGTTTGCTTATTTGATTGTCTTAATTTGAACATTTTTCAAATGTTAACAGCTTGTTAAGAATTAATTTGTAAGAGCAAGATCAGTTGATTCCACTGTTTTTACAGAGGTGGCTTCTGTAGTCAGCAGCAGTGTAAGTCTGAAACAAAGCAAGCAAATGTGAGGCAGATAGGAGATGCCAGATTTAGAGCACTTAGATCCTCTCTGCCCAGATGGAAGACGATTATTAGACCTTAAGGTCTAGGCACAGACTTTTTTTGTTAGGTGTTTGTATGATGCCAAGCACAACGGTGAGTCCCTGTAGTACTGGAGACTGATAATATGAAGTGCACCTTCTCCATGCTGCTCTGCAACAGGCCTCAACCATGAACTCAGTGGCTTTTATTGTAGGGGAAGATAGCTTCCCCTACACCATTTCTGCAATCCTTGACCTCTCTGCTGAGACTGCTAATAATGCAATAATCCGATGAATGCTGAGATTGGTGTCTGCTTTTTATGACGAGATACATTTCTAGTAACTGAGATCACCATATGCCATGCACAGAGTTTCAGAGGCAGATTCTGGTCCTTTTTTGCGCAGAGAGAAATTCAGCACAAATTTATCAAAAGCAGAAATGAATTATTTATATTTAGCAATGAAAGCACAAAACTTATTTGTTTCCAAAGGGAGAAGTCCCTTGCAATAATTATATCAATAACTGCAGTATTTGACAGCTATGGAATATGTGAAACAACGTTTTGAGCAGGACTTCTATGTCCAGTATTCTATTACCAGGCTCCAAGTGCCCTAAATTATATTTTTTTGCATGAGGCAGAATGACTTTATACTACTCTCGGACAGTATGACTAGTATCTCTGGGGAGTATCATAGAAAGGTCATGTGTATCTCACAAGACTATCCCAAATCCCTAGATTTTTAATAAACACATTAATCCATCCTAAGTAGCTCACATTCCATCTACAGTTCTATTTTTAGGTTATTTGTTGTACTTATTTAAAAAAAAATGTGTCACCAGTTCTGGAGGATTTTTTAAGATAGGAAATAACAGCTACCTTTTTATGTGAAAGGCTGCAGGGGGAGCGGGGTGCTTCCATTACAGCACAAGCTGCCAGCTGCTGGAGCTACAAAGGAACTGCTTATTATTGAAATAACAGGTTGGAATATCTCATGTCAGCAATGATCTGATGTAGCAGCTTACTCCTTAGTCAACGTCTGAGACTTTCCTAAGGGATACCTATTTTTTTCCCCTGTTGCAGTGTTGGAAGCTAAAACATTAAAGAGAGGGATTTGCTCAAACAAAACAAAACAAAACAGAGTAACCTCTTAAAATGACTGAATACTGCAAAAACAAGCTCTCCACAACAGGGTGGAGAAAGGTGCAGGCCGTAGCTACGCCAGTGAGGGTTAGGCAATGTGTAATAATTGCAGACAAATTGCAAAGACATTCTGATTTTAGGATTCAAGTTCTGGAAGCCTAGACGCAACTCTTTTCCTCAAGATATTTATTCAAAAATTATTTTTTTTTTTATTATGAACCCTGGGTTATGTTTATATGTGTGTCCATACTCAGAAATAGATATAAAATAGTAAGGAAGCTTTGCAGGTATAAAACAAGCTGTTGGCATGACAGAAGTATATGGACGCATGACTGCTAAAATGATATTTATGCTAAAATTTTGGCATCGACTAGATTATGTGTGTTAAAACTGGGTCTTCCTCTAAAATAACATTTTCTGATTTATTAGAAAGTTCCAGGATGAAAACAGTATTTTCCTATTCAATTTTCAAAAATAGAATACTTTAAGTGTAACAACTTTGACTTTTCCTCTTTTCAGCACTTTTTTTTTTTTTTGGGGGGGGGGGGGGGGACAGGGGGGATGGGGTGGGGAACCACACAGTTTAACCTTTTCCTTAATTTAATATTTTTTTCCATTTATCATCTCTGTATCTTCTCAATATTGAAGAAGAAATTGTGAACAGTACATCATCGAGGACAAGAAGTTTCAAAAAGCAAATTCAGGAGACAAAGAACTGAATATCTTTGACCAAGCAAAAGACAACAACTTGGAGAGATCAAATAAAAGCAAAAATAGGCTAATTGGATAGACAAATAGTGAAAGATCCATAAAATGCATAGTGTTAGTACATTGCCTAGCGATGCTACAAAACAACATTTGATCTTATGGGACCACAAATTTCTTGTCATTGTAATTTCTTTTATCAACTAATGAATTTTAATCAGAGCAATGTTTGCACAGTAGCATTTACCAATATAGAATTATGTATACATAAGCACGTCATTATGAGAAACAGGATAGCAAGTTCATTGCTTAATTACTTAATATAAAATTATGTTTAGACCAAAGATATAACAAGAAATTAATGAGTTCCCAGGATAGCTGAAAATAATATTAAAATACAATCTGCATATTTGTGTTCCAGAAGTTCTTTTTGCTTTGCATAATGTTCAGAGAAAGGCTTAAAACTCAAATCAAATCATGCTCACACAAATCCATCTCAGCTTTAATAACAGTGAGTGAAAGCAAACATATTCATGGGATGAAGTACACATAAGAGTATGAAAACATGCTCCAAAATTCCCTAAACTCTGTAAATGTATAAAAATAAACTTATCCACTGTTTGAAGTTCCCAGAAGAAAATGAAAACATACTTCAAAATGCTCTAAATCTTGAGTCATACCAAATGGACTGAGCATATTTCCAAATCCAAAACATAAATTGGAATTTTAATTCCTAAAAATCTCCCCATTCATTTGGAACCTGTCAGGTGGTTGCGGTTTTGAACTGCTGTCATGATTAATTGATGAGGTCCAGTCTTGCTAGAGGAAGTAAAGCAGTGCATTAATTTAGGCCTTGATTCCCCCTGAAAGTGAGCCCTCTGATTCAGTGAGTTTGGGCTCAGGTTTTCTCCGGGGGCACAGCTAAATGTACGTATCTCCTTTCTCTGTCTCAATACTTACCAGGATAACTGCATTTTCTGAGGGATTCACATGTTTCACGGGTGAGTAATCAATCATTTCACACTAGATTATTTTGATTTGGCCATACATGTTGTCATCAATACTTATGTCATACATAGTCAATATTTAACGTTTTTATTTCACAATAATAACCAACACTATCAGCAGTAAATAGGCCATTGGAATAATGTGCTTCGGTCAAACTATTTGGAGTTGTCCACTATTTGAAGGAGTTGCCTGCACTTCTATTAACAATCCATATTTAGAAAATTATAAACAAAGGTAGACATTCTTTACCAGCTAACCCTTAGCAGATAGCACTCTTTCTGAAAATAATTTATACTTTTAAAATAAACATTAATCCATAAAGATTTGGTGACTTGGTGTATTTATTCTCAGTGAAACATGTTGCAAATAATCTTGACACAGGTTTCTTATTCCCTCATATATATGTAAACCATACTTGATCTCCTCCAAGACACTTTCAAATACCATATTCATCTTCTCCCATCTGGAAAAATACCCAATACTCTCAAGATTGTAATTTCATTATAATGTTCAGCTCCTCACGAGCACAAAACCAAAAGATGCACATATATTATAAAATCTTGGCAATTCAGTTTTGAGATATAAGTGATAAAAATTCGTATTTCCTTTCACAGTTTGAATTTCATTAAAAATAAAAAAATAGCCTGTAGTCTACTCTCAAATTCCTCTAAAATCTAGGCCACCAAAAGCCTACTGCCTTTAAAATGAAAAATTCATCAAAAACTGGGATCAGGTCTTTAAATAACAATGAAGTAGTCCAGGTGCTGATTATTTTTCAAAAGGCATACCTTTTATCTGACAGCACATCCAAGAAGAAATCACAGATGTCTCTTCAGTCTTGGGGCTGCCCATACTGTGGTAGGCAAGTCACAACAAGGATGCACGCCTCAGAAAGTGAAAGTCCACAGGAATAGCGGAGAGAGACGGTGATCACTCAAATTGTGATTACTTATGATGAAATGGAACTCAAAAGCTGCCCTGTATTTTGGAAAAGCTCTTAGAGCATACAAATACAGGGAAACACAAAGCATTGCAGATACCCTCATCAGATTTGGCAACTGTTTGATGAATACAGGAGACCTCCTCTCAGCTCTTTTAGAGCTGATCAGCCAGGTGTACCAAAAGGCAAAGAAAGGAAGATGAGGTGTTGACCAAAAGGATTTGAAACAACTGTATGATTTGGAGAAAGGAAAGAAAAATCAAACACACACAAAAAAAAAAAAACCTCTAAAGTAGCTCTGCTAGAGACTTTGAGTAATTGACACAGGCTCCTGCGTCCTAGAACAGTTGATCAGGATTTGTTACCTTAGGAAGCTGCAGTTCTCCAAAGATCACACTTTCATGCATCTAATACAAGATAGCAGTGGGGGAGCCCTAGAAGGCATACAGACGCATTAATGAGGCTTCAGTGGGGGCTCATTAACTTCACCTGATGCTGAAGTTAATTGGCCAAGGTGGAACACCATGCTGACACCACTGCTTTGCCCCACTTTGGGGGCTGGGCTACCCTGAGGTAACTTTTGTGTTCAAGAAGTAAAAACATGCTGTTGCTTGTTGCTACTATTTCTAATTCTTGATAAAGCAACTGAAGGCTTAACCCTAATTACTGTCCTCTGGCATGTCACACTTCTCAGCTGTGCACCCGTATCACAACCAGGATCAGAGAGCAAATGCCCTCTCAGCAAGCTTAGCTCATTTCCATGGAAGTTTCCTTCCCTGAAAACTAACATCTGCAGACAGCCATGGCAGTGCCTGCAATCAAACAACCCTCCTTCCTTGCTGCCATCACATGGCCTATTTAAGAGGAATGTTATGATACAAACACTAACTTAGGACCTCAGTCTTGGTTGTCTCAGGGAATCCTGTGAGTCTCAAGCAATTCTGCTATTGGAACGGGACGTTACATGTGGGGCAGCTCAGTCCCCCAAATCCACTTGCAGCGGCTTGTTCTGTCCAAATATCACTTGATCAAAACATGATGCTACCTACCCGTCTCATCGCATAGGAAGTTGGTTATCACTTTGGTTAACGTGCACATCCATTAGAGCTTTTGTTGCCTGACCATGTAGGCAAATAATATGCAAACTGTTAAACTTCAAATTGATGCAAGTAGCTGGCAAAAGTATGTCAATGTAGAATAAGCTATTTCACCCAAAGCGTTTCATCAGAGGCGGAGAAAACACAGGCAAGTGGTAGTTTCTAAATGCTCTGTATCCCTAGCCATGGTTACTTCCTGATGCTGCTGTGCCACTTTCTGGGCAAAGATGCTGGGCTGCGTTATGCTGAATGTAAGTGCCAAGCAGAGAAATGCTTTGTCAAAGCTTTGCATATCTGCAGTGGGAAAAACCATACACACTGTGCAAAAGGGAGCTGTCCTATTACAAAACCCGGGAGCAGTCTACAAAGCCTTGTGTCAGACATCACTGAAACATCGCAGAGAGGCAGCAGGTCTGCATGGTGGATTGTCGTTCCTTCAAAGAATCACATTCCACAGGCCAGAGGCAAGTAAATCAGCACAGTATCTGCAGCATTCGATGTGGATTCTGGCCTCTGAATCTACTCAAAAATCTGGCCAAAGCCTCAAGTGAACAAGGTATAGTTTCAACTTTACATCAACCTGACTTAAAATGTTTACTTACAATTATTTGCTGAATAGGATTTGTCCTCAGGCTTAGCATAAAAGATTGAGCCCTTACCTACCACCTGAAGATTTCACAGGCTGGAAATCTGGAGAATGTCTTAGAAGAATTACAAAGAATAAAAGTTCAGTATCAGGTTTGAAATACCTTGACCTCAGACACAGAGAAACAGGCGTGAACACAGTCCCAGCAGAGTTTCTATGTTTCTAATTAACTTGATTTTGGAGCAATGGATGCTGTCCAAAGATTTACATAAATAACAAATACAGTGAAAAGTACAGATTTCCCGGGGTGTTTTAATTTAACATTAACCAGATGCATTTGCAATAAAGGCTGAATTAAAAGTCTGTTGCCTTAAAGCAGGGAAACCATTTACAATGAGGAACTTCCTATCTAGAAGGAATATGCCCCAAGAGATTCATATGGCGGCTTGTAACTATTCAACATGGCCAATATTTTAAGCGCCCTTAGCCAGGTCAAGCCCTATGGTACCTTCATCAGTCATTGGTATGAAAACCTGGTTATTAGGTTCCCCAAGGAACATGTATATATTAAATGTTCGCATTAGCATATCCTGCAGGGCCTGCTCAGGCACAGTCTACTGATGCGAACAGAATTATTTCTGAATGAGGTTTCTTTCTCTGTAGGTAGCCACCGAGTATTCACATCATGCTTTTCCCTCACAAACCTCACAGTGCTTGGTGGGAAATAGGAAAGCACCCACAGAAGTAAGCTGAGTTGGTAACATTTATACTCGGAGGGTCACCAGCAAGAGCAGGGCCTGGCAGAAAAGCTGCTGGGCCCCAAGCTGTGGGATCACACTGCCACACAAGGACAGGGGGAAGCGTATTTCGTTCAACAGGACTTCAGAGGGCAGAAGAGGTGCTGAATTTTCATACTGATGGGCACAAATAGGCAGGTTTAGGCAGGGGTTGCTTTGAAGATTCATCTTTCCCTTCACGTCTCTGTATGTGATTACCATTTTGGCACCTCTTAAATTATTTCAAATCAGACTAGGCCTGTGTTTTGCATGGAATATCAGGAGGTATCTGGATACACTGAAGAAGTGGCAGTGTATTTTTAATGAATTCATGTAATTAAGAACCAGTTACTTGTCATGCAAAACAATCTCACTGAGCCTGCTTAAAGCCTATGTTCTTTTTTCCTGCTTCCCTGTTCTCCATTTATTAAGAACATCTGCATGACGGCAGTTTTGTGCTTTTTTTTTTTTTTTTTTTTTTTACTTGAGGTTCATTAGTTCCAATTGCTTCTCCTTCATCTGAAATCACAAGCTGCTGGCTGTGAAATCTCAGCTCCTCATGATGAAAGAGAGAACATTTGCAATACAACAATTAAAAGGAAGATGTCTTATGCTGGAATGAAGCAGCAAATTTTCAAACAAAGTAAAATATTGCACTTAAAGGTATAAATATTATATTTTATGGACTTTTTTTTTCTTTAAAGGATCTTTAACCAATGCAGGTATTTTCTGACGCTTCCGAGGACTTTTTCTGCAGCTTGCTGGGAATTCCTTCCTCTGGAAATTTTCAAGAACTCCCATTTCTCTTTTTCCCAGTGCTTTCTAGGAGTTCCTCTGCTGTGGTTTAGCAATATTCCTGAAACTTTCTAGGAACACGTACTACATTCTAGCAATTCCAGAAAAAAAAATCCATGCTTCCCAGGAATTTTCCCAATGCTTTCTAGGAATTCATCTTCTGCTTTCTAGCAATTAGTTTCCCACCTTATAGTAACTTCCCTACAGCTTTCTAGGGCTTCCCCATCTACACTCTAGAAATATTCCTGATACTTTTTATGTTCTTCCTACCTGTTTGTGGAACTCTCACAAGGCATCCTAGGAATTCACAGAGGCTGTCTGGGGATGTTCCTTATGCTTTCTAGTACTTTTCCCCTCACTTTTCAGGATTATTATTATTATTATTTTTTAGTTTTCTATAAGTTCCCCTGTTCCTTTATAGGAATCTTTCCATCCTTTCCTGAAGTCACTGTCAGGGAGCAGGGCTGTTTGCTGAGGGAAGCTGTGAGCAACCACAGACCGTGACCCATGGCACCTGGTTAGGGCAAGCAGAGAAGGGCTGTGAGAGCGGCTGGGTGTGTCAACACCACAGCAAACACCAGACAAAGCCAAGGTAGAAAGTCGTGTCCAAAGTCAATGCAGGAAACCCAAATAAGAATTTAGGAACACCAGGGAACTGGGTTTGAAAGAGGTACACCCACCTGGTGTAATTCTGTCATGGACATTTCTAGGATTAGGAAGCACTCTCATTGAATAATATCTGCATTCACTGTTTTGTAACACCAGCAAACAAACAACAACTAATTAGGAAATCTGTATCCCTAAACAAATGGTGAATCCTTATAGATTTGTAACATGAGAAATTGTGAAATGTTTGTTTCATAATTTTCCATTTATAATCCATTAAAGGATTTGCTTAACGGTTGCATTTAGGTAAAACAGAATCACAGAATCATTTAGGTTGGAAGAGACCTCCAAGATCACCGAGTCCAACCTCTGACATAACACTAACCAGTCCTCCACTAAGCCATATCACTGAGCTCTACATCTAAACATTTTTTGAAGACCTCCAGGGATGGCGACTCCACCACTTCCCTGGGCAGCCTGTTCCAATGCCTAACAACCCTTTCGGTAAAGAAGTTCTTCCTAATATCCAACCTAAACCTCCCCTGCTGCAACTTTACCCCATTCCCCCTCACCAGGCACGTGGGAGAACAGGCCAACCCCCACCTCACTACAGCCTCCTTTAAGGTACCTGTAGAGAGCAATAAGGTCACCCCTGAGCCTCCTCTTCTCCAGGCTGAACAAGCCCAGCTCCCTCAGCCGCTCCTCGTAGGACTTGTTCTCCAGGCCCCTCACCAGCTTCGTCGCCCTTCTCTGGACCCGCTCAAGCACCTCCATGTCCTTCTTGTAGCGAGGGTCCAAAACTGAACACAGTACTCGAGGTGCGGCCTCACCAGAGCTGAGTACAGGGGGACGATCACCTCCCTAGCCCTGCTGGTCACACTGCTTCTGATACAAGCCAGGATGCCGTTGGCCTTCTTGGCCACCTGAGCACACTGCTGGCTCATATTCAGCCGACTGTCCACCATCACTCCCAGGTCCTTCTCCGCCAGGCAGCTCTCCAACCACTCATCTCCCAGCCTGTAGCTCTGCTTGGGGTTATTGCGCCCCAGGTGCAGGACCCGGCACTTGGCCTTGTTGAACTTCATGCAGTTGACCTCAGCCCATCGGTGCAGCCTATCCAGATCCTCCTGCAGAGCCTTCCTACCCTCGAGCAGATCGACACACGCACCTAGCTTGGTGTCACCTGCGAACTTACTGAGGGTGCACTTGATCCCCTCATCCAGATCATCGATGAAGATATTAAAGAGGACCAGCCCCGGCACTGAGCCCTGGGGGATGCCACTAGCGACTGGCCTCCAGCTGGATTTGACTCCATTCACCACGACTCTTTGGGCCCGGCTATCCAGCCAGTTTCTAACCCAACGAAGCGTGCGCCAGTCCAAGCCATGAGCAGCCAGTTTCTCAAGGAGAATGCTGTGGGAGACGGTGTCAAAAGCCTTGCTGAAGTCAAGGTAGACCACATCCACAGCCTTTCCCTCATCCACCCAGCGCGTCACTTTATCATAGAAAGAGATCAGGTTCGTCAAGCAGGACCTGCCTTTCATAAACCCATGCTGACTGGGCCTGATCTCCTGCTTGCCCTGCAAGTGCTGTGTGATGACACT